AATTAGCACCGTTCCGTACGCACATACACTGCACGAATGTGGAAGCCACAGCCACACTAAAGTGTATGGATTGCATTACAGTTGGTACAGTTCAGTCGAACAGAGTGCGAGTTCGGATTGCTAAATACATATATATCGATGATAAACATGAATTAAGTAAGCCCTGTATAGTTGTTCTATTTCACGATGAAGGTTTGACTTTGGTTGTTGTCAGCCGTGTAAATACACATTCTGTTAGTGTGCGTAGGCCTCGGCAGTAGGTATGCCCAATTTTTTGTTTTGAATCGATCTTCTGGATCGTAATGGATCGTAGCCTCGTGAATCGAATCACGATTTAATCATATTGCATTGAATCGATCTTATTCGATCTCGGAAAATCGTATCGTAATTTTATAAAAATAAAGAAAAGCACAATATGCATGCAAAATTATTTATTTTAAATGTGACTATTACGGTATCCAGTGAGTTTTTAAAAATTATTATCATTAAAAAGTATAAAACATTTATTTTATAAATTCTAATCCGTATATACTTTGATATGTATTTAGTAAAAAGCTGTTATTTTGACATTACAAACAGACACTTCAATTTTATTTACTTGTATAGACGATAGATATTTATGATTTCAGCAATTGCTGTAGTAGAACTTTCTTCACTTTTGCTGAGCCTTATTCTGAGCTAGCCCGCTATTCACTTGCCCATAGGCATCACATATGATGACTTTTGAGATGATCTTTTAAATTGGTAGTATTTTTGCTAGTTTTAAACATCTGTTAACACATTTTACATTGTCCACCCACGTTACATTTAATAAAAAAAGACCCAAACGTTTGATTTGGTTGGTAGGGCCATATTAAAAAGTATTTTAAAATAATAGTTTACGCTCAAAGAAAACAAAGAATGAAAGATCATAGAACTAACATAGGTACCTGATAATAAAATAAACAAAATATTATCGAACCTACCTTCATATTTCATACATTAACGCTTTTGATGTAACTGGAAGCTACTCGGTTCGGTTGATGTTTAGGTTTTAGTTGATTTTTTTCGTACGATCTTATAGGCATACGATTCGATCTGGATGAAGATCGCATTCCCTTGAATCGATTCAAAAATCGTTAGATCGTATGGCCGTGAATCGATCTTTTAGAAAATCGATTCAGATCGGGCACACCTACTCGGGAGCGCTATTCCCGAGCGCCCGCAGCCTACGCACACTAACATAATGTGTATGTGCACGGCTCACAACAACCAAAGTCAAACCTTCATCGTGAAGTAGAATATCTAGAACTGTTGATGCTTTGTACATTTGTACAGGCTGTTTCTACGCACTTTTTTCGGGACAGTTGCGCAACATGATATCTAGCGTACACAGTGACTTTGTACGGATGCTGTAGCGATCAAATAATGAACATTAATTTATACAGCCCATTGAGTTATATAACCTACGTACTAGAGCAGCCTTTCTCAAAGACTTATTAAAAAAGGTAGACAGGTTACACACTAACATTATTGTATTTTAAAGTGGCGCAGGTAGTACTATATCTACGTACAGTTATTTATTATGACACGTTGCGCTAACAAAAAGAGACAAGTGATAGGGCTTACCTATCGTTAGAAAAAGATGAATATACATCATTAGTTGCGTGTTGATTGCTGCCGAGTGCTCATTGGCGCGAGCGCGTGACATACTGATATGGAAAATGAACACGCTAGCTAGCGTCAACGTTTACACTAGCGGTTAGTGTTGAAATAATAAAACCAATTATGAACAAAGCATCTATATTCAAAATATTAATGAGACGTTTTTCTTGTCTCTAACAGGAGCCGTGTAATTTGTGCACCACCTAAAAACATAGGAAGGCATTTTAACCACGAATAAGCAGAAGATTTACGCGCCGTAGCGAATGTATAGTCCCGACGCAAGACCGTGCCCGACTGAATGCGATTCGGGCAATTACCTGACTTTTGTATTGCCATTTTAGAGCGAGTATGACGTATCTATACTTTTAAAAACATCTTACGACTTTCTAAACAAAAAATGTGCACTACCCAAAGAGTAAAGTAATTATCCTATACAGGAACCTATGTCTTCGCGCATGCGCGGGAGTTAGTAAAGTCGCGCATACGCATTTTATTTCTTATGTAATATTAGGATATTATTACCTATTTATTCACTTGAACAACAAATAATAATTTTTTAAATTTAAGTTTGCTATGTTGTGTAGTGTTTTATGTGCAATAAAGAGTATAAATAAAATAATAAAATAAATAATTTTACTTACTTGACACTTGAATTGTTATTTACGTCCAGGGTTAAACTTTAATTTGAAATTTTGTATTATTAGTGCCGCTCCACACTGCATGAATATTAAAACCACAGACTAACTAGTACATTGAAACCACACTAAATGACATACTGTACGGATTGCAGTACAGTTCAGTTGAACATAGTGTATCTTCGGAATGTGCAATCTAGTACGTAGTACATATATATCGATGATTACAGCCTATCAAAAGTTCACTGCTGAACAAAGTCCTCCCACATAGACAGCCTTATAGAGGAATTTTAGGGATTTTGCTATAATAACCGCGCTTTGCAGTCTGGTTGACTACGTCAATTTTTAATAATTATCAAGGAAATGCTCCTGCCTATCTCTTGTTTTAGTTTTCCTAAATATATTTTCTATAAACTTCGTCATTTTAAATAAGAAAAATTAAATAATATTTTAAGATCGCGCTAAGGTTTTGCGTCACCGCACATGACCCCGAGCGAGTTATGGTTGTAGTACCGCCGTCCGCCGTGCTACATCGTTGCGGTCTCCGTGCGGTACGCGGAGGTGAAATCTTAAAACTTTCTGGATTAGTACCCTCGGCTTATACAGCTTATACATGTCGTATCGCATTGCTGGGTACAGACCTTCACTTATTTCTGATAGAATTGTGAAGCAATTAGTCCGCTGCGCTAAATATTTTATTCCTCAGACTTGCAGATTTCCTCATGATGTTTTCCCTCGTCACTGAGCTCGTGGGAAATCAGCACTTAATTGCATTGGTGCCGGCGAGAATCGAACCCATGTTGCTTGCATAGTGTGAAATTTACAGCGAGCGCTCAGCCTCTAAACTATCACAGCTCTACAAATTTATTCATAAAAAATAAAATATGTCTAATTTTAGTTATTGTCTGATAATTTGTTTTAAAAAGAGTTTGTAGCACCTAGATGTGTATACAAAAAAGTGCTTACATGGAAAGTGGCAATCGACTAAAACATGCAATCACGACAGGTTGACGTTCTGTGTTCCTAGTACGTTTATTTTCTTTCGTAACTCATTTAATCAACACGTTCACATATAGTTTTACGACAATGCTAAGCAGAATAATTCCACGGTGGTTTATACAGTCTCCTGTGACCATTTTATCTTATACAGTGGAAAAACAACGAGTTTTATATGTGGTAGAGCCATGCTGCAGCTATATTAGTAGTACAGTTGTAGCACGAACGGGTCGGCTCGACCCGGGAAGGACCACGCTCTCACTGAATACCGGTGTAAAATGGCATCTTAACACTGCTGTGTTTTGTATGGTGAGTGTAGAGAACAGGAGACCATTTTCACTGGAAAAGCGGCATTCCATCTTAGTCGTCACGGGTAACGTAGATGTCTATGGGTCACAACAGCCACTTACCATTAGGTGGACTGTGTGCTCGTTTTGAAAGAAAAGAAAGACATAAAAATTTTACAAAAGATATTATGCACTAAAAAACTTATAATTACAGACCAAAAGAAAATTAAAACCTAAATAAAATCAATACAATCAAAATTTTATTATGTGTGCGGGTTTGGTATAAACGGGCTACACTCAGCATTATTTCGTGGTATTATCTACGAAGCTGGTTTTCAGTGCGCCCTATAGTGAGTAACGTACGGTCGAATATGCAACAACCAGTACAGCTATTACGACGCTATACTTGTTGCACCTACCACACCAGTCCTCAGCATTTCTAATGATACTGCTTTTCATTGCCTACATTATTTCATCCATACTTATCTCACAACTTCTTCTTTTTTTTTCAGATTGATTTAAAAATCTATATTATAATTGATATTTTATGCATCTCGAAGCGTAATACTGTACGTTACTGTTTCTATTATTTGAACAGAGTGTCGATATTGAATTCTGCTCTCTTACGTAAGTTGCTCAATGCTTTAAAAACGTCTTAAGGAATTTAATTTCGACATTAACTTTCTCGAAACAAACGGAATGTGACTTATTGACTCCAAATATAAATATAAAAGTTAGTTAAAAATAATAAATAATAGTTTAAACAAAACTAAAGAATCACGCTAAAGGTAAATTTTTTTTTATTTTATCCCGGTGATCCTGATCAGGATATGAATGCAAAATTTCAAGTCAATCGCCCGTCTACAAGTTAGTGAAAATTACATTAAAAGATATCATTACATAGATAGATAAATAGATACAAGCAAAGCTATTAAAAGCGTGTGAACAACGCTATGAAATGTGTAAAATTAGTTTCATTCATTCAAACATTCGAGTTTTAGTATTTTTTTTGTTCAGCATAATTATGATTAAGGTAATTAAGATAAGATCGGTGTTAAATTTCTTGTAATATAATAAAAACCATTGTTTTCAAAACAGAATATATAGATATTATTGTTTTTTATTGTAAATACAGTATGGCTGCATGAGCGTGTATGTACTTACTATGTATTGCCTACCTGTGGGTAGGTACTATAGGTTTGTAGTTATCGATATGAACATCTGCAACTAAAATAAATTCGTGAGAGCAACACATCTCTTAAGACTCGTACAGTCCATAAATCTGGCGTTCTATATTCTTCAGAACGAAGCAAAACAGTGGTGGGTGGTTACAGATGGCTACCTAGATAGATCCTAGCCAAGGATTCCTACCACCGACTTCAATAACTATTTAATCAATTGTGAAAATTGAAATATAACTTAATTTTTCCTTTTACAGAAGAGACGTCGCTGTTCGTGCCCATCAACGATGACAACTATTTAATGAAGTTCCTCAGACCGTCAAAGTTTTATCCTGAAAGTGCTTTTAAAAGGGTAGGCGTACGCATTTTTTATTTCATTTATAAGTCAATGTATAGGCAGACATTTCAGAGGTCACTCTACTAACTGATGGACGAGACTATTGCGATCACCTCATGAACCAATATCAATCTATTTATTAATTTACTAGATGTATTATTTATTTACTAGCTGACCCGACATACATCGTTCTGTCAAATGCTATTGGACTGTGGCGGTCCCACAAACATCTTTTCTGGTCAAGTTCTGGTGATGGCGCTGCTTATAAAGAGTACATGTCGTGATGATGTCTTTAATTTAGTATTTATTGACTATCAAATAAAGCAAATGCGAGTGCAAAATCGTTCTGTGTGCGAATTGTTGCTAAAATCGATGAAATAAAAAATCCTGTACCACTGGGAGTGTCAAAGAAATAAATCCCTCTAGTTCCATCATTTACAACTTTCATAAGAGTATCAAATACTTTCTTTTGTTGTTGGTTCAACAGAGGAAGATTTATTCGAACTGTTTCTTTTAAAGCAACGAGATCGTACAGTTTTTCGCATTGCAACTCTTGATTAAAAGCGTCGTGCATCGGCCGATTGGGTGCGGCCATGCCTAATTAAGGTAATATTTTGCTTGACATCATCAAGCGCATATCCGCAATTGATATTAACGCCTCTATGTAAATTTCTTCACTTACTTGTAAATTGGATTTCTTGTTCTAATGTACATTTGATGCAAGATATCCTCATACATATCGTCTTTGTATTTGATCCATAAATCAATTGGTTGTGATAGGAAGCATATTGATATAATTATAGAAAACAATGTTCGTATTTGACGAGCTTGTGAAGAAATTACAGCATCATTGACATTTTGATCCCAATGAGCCTCATTTTCTAAAAGTTGCAAACGTTGACAGGCTTCTCTGTAAGAGCAACGGATTTCACTATTAACAGTTCGTAAATGTTGGAATGATATTGGGCTTCGAACATTGACTAATAGCAATCTCTAACACTCATCGTTGCTTGGATGGACTGAATAAATTTAACCTATTACATCGGTGGAATATACATTTGGGTAACCTGGAACTGGTTTTCCTTGTTTCCGTGGTTGAATTTTTTCCAGGATTGATTCGAAATACAATATTTTGGTATTTCAAAGTATAGCAGTGTTCGGGCGAAATCATTCTGAAACATGTTGCTATGCATTCTGTACCGTGAAATATACTCTTTGACCATTTTCTAAGTGTATGGCTAAGCGAACATCTATGGGGTATCTTTCAGGAATTGGAAAAGAAAAAATGCACAAAATTGCTTCATTACTGCTAACATAGCGGCCCATTTGATATTCAGTAATTTCGTCATTGGGATTCTCTGCACCAACTCCAATCACAGTCATGTCACTTCCTTTTGTTACATATTTACAAATTTATTTGATAGATTACACGGAATGGCAAGATTCAACACACTACACACTTTGACAATTATTGATCTTCCGTTGTCTGTAGCCAATCGGCGAGGATACAGTGGATAACTATCATTTCCCGTAATTGTTTCAGTTATTAATGCCCATGGATAACACTTCGAGCATTTACCATCTCCCAAACACAGTGAATTTCGATTAAGGGTTCTACAGGGACCATGAACCATGCTTTTAATACTCGTAACTACCTCTTGTAAGCCTGGATCTACTTGTATATCAAGATTTCGGCTGATCACTTCTCATTTTAAAATATATTATTTTACATTGAGTTATAATGTACTACGTACTAGAGAAGCTATACCAAACAAAAAATGTGCGCTAGTCTATGTCTTCGCGCATGCGTGGGAGATAGTAGAGTCGCGCATGCGAATTTTTTGTCATCATAGATTATACGTAGGTAGAATGATCAGTATGTAATAAGTAATTGTTTATTTAGATTGTATTGTTAATTATATCGAGTACAATTTTTTTAATTGTTATTTATTTTGCATATGTGTTAATTTAATATAATATAACATAATATTATGTCAGAATTACATTTTAATGATATTTTATTTCGTATTTAAAAAAGTTAATATGTAAAATATAAAAATATACATTTATTATCGAAGATCATTATTATTACTTTTCTAGCATTCTCTAACGTATTTATACGCAGCTGGAAAATAATTAAAGGTGCATGCAGTGTATAATAAATAATGCGTGCTCTGTTTATTATTTTTCATTAAAGATTTATGTAACTCCACAACTTCTGCTTTAGCCATTAAATCAATCACAGCATTTTGTTTGAGACCGAATTTATGTTTAAAATTTTGTAAAATTTATTTGTTTACACATTTTTATCTTAAATAAGTATTTTCTTAAATTTCTCAGTAAGTTCCTTTCTAGCTGCAGATTCCTTGCTATTAAATAAAAAACACAATGTTACAACGTGCTCATATTTTATTATTTTTATAATGACATAGAATTATTGATTCTGTTACTAAGGTCATTCCGTAGAACTATATTTAAAATATTAGGCTTCGTACACATCACTCGAATTAGGTGTAGGACACATTACTTGCGTAATTTATTTTTAAGTACAATTTCTCTCGGGCCATCATACATTGAATTTGACCTGCTTTTTGACCTTACTGATTCAGACAACCGTTCTGATACCTACTTCCTGTTTACCACATTTTGTTGGCTGACAAAAGCTACTAGTTATTTGGGAAGCCTGTAAAAATTCTAGCGTTACAATATTAATAAACGGCCATATACTAGTATGACCCGCGCGCTGAAGGTTCTGCCTCTATTAAGTCTCGTAAATAAACTGAACATTACAAAAAATCGTTCGTATATGTAAATAATATAATTACGTTATCATATATCCGCATTAAAACCAAAGTAACCGACATAGCCCAAAGAATTAGTATGGTGAAGTGGCAATGGGCCGGCCACATAGCTCGAAGAATTGACAACAGATGAGGAAGAAAAAAGCCGGCAGGCGAAGTCTAGGGCGTTCTCCCTCTAGATAGAGTGACGACCTGGTAAGACATGCAAGAAGTGATGCAGGTGGCTCGGGACCGTGCTTTGTGGCATTCTTTTGGGGAGGCCTATGTTCAGCAGTTGACTTGTGAAGGACTGTAATAATGATGATGATGATGATAGTACTGCAGATATCTTTAAGTACACTCTTTCTGTTTTTGTGGTGTATTTGTCGTTATCTTTTAAATGCACGGAACATATACTTGAATAATCTGACGGTAACCACGTTTCTTCGCTGCAATTCTTCGGAACAAATTTGATCCATGATTCTTTTGTTTCGTGACACGGCCGAGAACATATAAATTTTAATGCATTAACATTTCCTACCGTGATTATATATTAATATTTTACTGGTCATATTTACTTAACATTATACGTCGATAGTGTCATGTCTGCGCATAAAAATGTTATAATCTTTGAAATTCACGTATACGTTTCAGTTGATAAAATATAATTAAATTAAGCGTGTTTTAAAGATAATAATATGTTGAACTTACTGGTGAAAAGTCCCTCCTTAACTTTTACTTATGTTTCTCGAGTTGTTTGAACAGTATCCCAAGGAGGCATAATTAATTTAAAAAAAATTATTCACTCAAACGTCTCACGTTCCAGCAACCGCTTGACACAGATTAAGTGAGTTGGAGAGCGCGCACTCTAACTCATGTTGCAAACAATCGAGTTGAGGCGTCTCCTCTAGTACGTAGTACATTATAACTCAACGTTATTTTATTATTTTATCAATCTACATTTCTTTATATAATAAACAAACTGCATATCAACCATAACAAAACACAAAATGCCACAATAACCAATCATCCTCATTGTTTACGCCCTAGGTTCCAATTTTTTAGGATTATTTATTTATTATATCCATACCTGACAACCAAATATTTTCAGGTTAGATAAATGATTTTGCTTATTCCAGATTTTAGTAGGTGCTTTATCTTGACAAGCATTTGTTGGTGATCTATTTAACTCATATGCTGAGCAACTTATTGCTTCACCCTAACAATAATGCATGTATTTTGGTAAATTAGTGTCTATGAATTTTGTTCTTCCTTTATCCACTAATATACGATTCATCCAGAAGTTCCATTTTGCTGTGGTGTAATATGCTTGATTATATTGTAAAATAATTCCTTTTTAACTTAACAGAATTTTTTTAATTAATTAGAAGTAAATACTCCTCCATTGTCATGACGTATTTGTTTAGTTTTTAACCCATGCGGTGCTTTAAGTGCTCTTATATAATCTATCATTTTTTTCAGCTTCATTCTTATTTTTGGCAATTTCATAACAGTAAAATGTGAATAATCATTAATAATTACTTGAAAATATTTGTATTCTTCTTGAGTAGGTGATTTGATTGGTCCACTAATGTTAGAATCAATTAAATTACCCATTTAATTTCATTGTTTTACAAAAAAGGCAATCTAGTTGCTTTTCCTTCAATACTATAAATGGATCATATGTAGGACACTTTTCAAGACTTGTTAGTAGATTTAATAATTTCATATCTTTACTTTTAAGATGTCCTTATCTTGGATGCCATGTATCAGATTCTTCATCTTTCTTTGAGATTGGTTCCTTAGTAATATAATAATGATTATTATTAATCTCTATGTTAATTACATATAAATTATTTAAGCTTTGACATTTCAACTCATAATTCATTCATGTAATATTTACTTCATCATTTGTTATTTCAATTACATTATCGTTATTTTGGTTTAAATTTTAACTGACAGTAAATTATGATACTTACCTTTAACAACTAAAGCTTCAAAATTAATTTTATACCGCAGACATTTTCCAGTAAGTTGAGCTTTTTAAGAGCATTCATTGTCTTACTATTTGTGATATGAATATTAACTTCTGCGGACAATTTGAATAATGGGAAGTTTCAGGTAATGTTTACTGGATGAAATATCGGTAGCTGATGTCACGGAGCAAGAGATTGATGAAACAATAACTTCAGAAGGTAAAAGAACTTTCAAAGTTAATGATGCTAAAGCTAAATC